AAAAAAAAAAAAAAGTGTTCCATTAGGGCCGGCCCGTGGCTCACTCGGGAGAGTGTGGTGCTGATAACACCAAAGCCCTGGGTTCGGATCCCACAGAGGGATGGCCGGTTCGCTCACTGGCTGAGCGGGGTGCTGACAACACAAAGTCAAGGGTTAAGATCCCCTTACGGGTCATCTTTAAAAAAAAAAAAAAAAAAAAGTGTTCCATTAGACCATTCTACTGTGCTGTCAGGTGTTATATGCGCAGCTCAGACTCTAACCACTGTACCACTACTGAGCTAAGCAGATTCACAAAGCTCACCCATATACCAGGACTTAAATTGCCCTTAATCTAGGTAACTATATTTCTTTGGCTAAATGTCTTTATAAAGAAAAGCTCTGAAGGTATAAGGCATCAGAGTTAGTACTTTGATTACAGTCTGTTAAGAATTTTGAAGATAGCATTTAGTATGATGTTACATTAGTGGCTAACAGTTAATGCTTATGAATAAAAGACTTTACAGTAAATTTGGTCAACTGTGAAGTTTCTAACTTGGGGCATTTGCATTATCTATTTTGCCAACGTCCCTAAGTAAGCACATGTGTGCATGCACACACACAAAAATCAAAAAAACAAAAGAGGTTACTGGTATTAACTTTTACACCCCTCCTGGCAGTCTTCTTGACCGCAACATCTTATATATGAGCAGAAAGCTTAACAATCCTGTGACTGATAAGACAAACATCATTCTATCAGTTAAGCCGAAACATTTATTGAATAAGTTCTACATGCCAGGTCCCTCAAAAAATAAGCCCTGCCCTCTAGGAGAGCTCACAAATGGAACAGAGAAAACAATGTAAATACATATTTCAATCTCATGCAGTAGGTTAGGCCCTGTTTTCATACAGGTTAAGGCAAGAGAATCCTGATCATTTCAGAATTCCTCAAATAAGACATTCTAAAATAAGCAATACTTTCAACTGCTTGCCCCATGCTATGGTAGAGGTTGCTATGGCACAGACTCTAGAATTCAGCTTTAAGGACCAGAAATACCTTCTCAGTCTACCAAGAGTTGAGCAGTCTCTGTGAGAGGCCCATTCTCTAAAAACTCACGGTTAATTTATTTACAAATGAGAATGCCAATATACCACTATAATGAGAATTACAAAATAAAACTAAGCTAGTTGGAGGATTTTGACTACTTAGCTACACAGGACATATACTTGCAGCTGGCAAAGTCATCGGAGAAAGACTAAGTCAGAAACTGGTAAGCAAGGAAATATGTAACAAGTACACCAAAAACATAATAAAAAAGACCTGGACAATTTCTAGGGCTATGGCAGTAGTAAGAAGTTGTTCCCTACTCACAAGACAAAAATTCTATCTCAAGCTAAAAATCCAGAATGAATGAACCCTGACCCTTTACTGGAGAAAAGACACATTTTTATATTTTTATTTTTCTAGATTTGAGAACCTTCATCTGTTACTTTAAAACAGAAACTTTACGTTGGTTAAAAAAACACTTAGGCTCACTGCAGAAACGTAGAAAATATGGAAGAAAAAGGGGCAAAATGCTAGATCACCCACAACTCCAGCACATTAAGTGCTTACTTAATATTTTGGTATTATTCCTGCCAGTCCAGACCATTTTCTACGTATGCACATATTTTGTATCACGTCTTACATATTTCTAGTGTCAAGTGGTACATTACTGACAAATTCCCCAAATGCCAGGGATGCACTCTGCTTGGAACCTGTTGGTTTCTTATGAAGTCTGGCTACATAGACCAGCAGTTCTCAAACTTTAGTTACCATCAGAATCATTCGGAGAGGGCCAGCCCGTGGCTCACTTCGGAGAGTGTGGTGCTAATAACACCAAGGCCACGAGTTCGGATCCCTATATAAGGATAGCCAGTTAGCTCACTCAGAAGAGCGTGGTGCTGACAACCCCAAGTCAAGGTTAAGATCCCCTTACCATCATTTTTTGAAGAAAAAAAAAAAATCATCATTTGGAGGACTTGTTAAAACAGGTTGCTGGGAACCCTGCACCACCATCACCTCTGAATTTCTGAATCAGTAGATCGGAGGAAAGGTCTTCAATTTGTACTTCTTATTACTTCCCTGACTCTGTCTGGGAATTGCACTTTGATAATCATAGAAAACTGAAAAACAAAGAAACTGGTTGTTTAAACACTGGTGTGGTTTGTAGTCTCAAAAAGACTTAGAGATACCATACCAGTATTTTTTTCTCTAATTTCATTTAGAAAAGATATGTAATAGGTTAGTTTACTTAAAGTACAAAATCTATACTTAATAGGAATTGGGTGTGCTTTGGTTAGGAAAACTTTCTCAGAGTTTTTGTTGACAGCCACTCTACAGCCTATAGTGAATTCTGAGCATGCAAATGGTCTCAGTTGGCCCCCAACTACCTCCCCAGCCTCATCTTTCTTTAGCTATCTTATCTTTTAGCACCCCAAAATTTCCTCACTGCTCCCCACACTTCCCAGCTTTGTACAAGGTCTTCCAGGTGCCTGGATGCTTCCCTATCCCAGTGTTCCTCCAATCGTACTTAAAACCACAACTCAAAAGTCCTACGTTTGTATGAGCTCTTCTCCGAAACAATAAACAGTAAATAAGTCCTCTGTGCTTTTAGTACTTTGTTCTTATCTGTCATTATATATTAAAATTACCTGTTTACCTACGTATATTAAATCATAATCCTTAAGGAAAGGAAGTGTGTTATAGTCAGGACTGGGCTACTAAAGCTAAGAAGCTTAGTTTGGTGAGTGATACAGATAATTGCAATATAAAACATAGTGACTAAACCATAATAGGCTCTCAAAATTTGTTGAATGGATGAATGCTGGGCTTTTGAAAAAAGTCAATAAAGACATTTTAATACATGTCAGAGAACCTCTCTAAATAGTTCAGAAATATTTATATTTTTACAGTAAAAGGCAGTGCAGTCGTCACTCAGTGTCTGTGGGAGATTGGTCCCAGGACCCCCCCGTGGATACCAAACTATAGGGAGGCTCAAGTCCCTGAAATAAAATACTACTATGGTGTTGTGTTTGCATATAATCTATATTCATTCTCCCCTATACTTTAAATCAATTCCAGATTACTTATAATATGTAATATAATGTAAATGTTATGTAAATAAATGTTAAACTATATTGTTTAGAAAATGACAAGAAAAAAAGATCTGTACATATTCAGTACAGATGCACCCATCCTTTTTTTTCCCCTGGAATATTTTCCATCTGCAGTTGGTTGAAACCATGGCTGCAGAACCCACGGAGGGCTGACTGCATATTGTAGTGAACAAGAGTGTAGGCTCTGGAGCTAGACTTCCTGAGCTCACGTCTTGGCTCTACCACGAGCAGTGTAATGTGAGGAAAGTTATTAATATTCATATGCCTCCACACTTATAAGACATGGGTAATACAGGGGCCCTCCTCAACAGACAGCTATTGTAAGGCATAAATGAGTTATTACATGTAAAATGCTTAGAGAAGTGCCTGGCACATAGTAAGTACTCAACAAATGTTAGCTGGTGTTATTTTTACAATATAAAAGTGCAAAGCTGGTTTTCCTCTCAAGAAACCAACAACCAAGTTGGGAGAACCAACAGGAACCTGTGAAAGATGTAACAGAAAGCAGGAAGTTAGGTATTAAATGTCAAACAACAAAATACTGGTGAAATAAATATACAATCTCCCTTGATGACTATTTTAATAAATCTACACTCATCTGTATGTTTAGGTTTGGGTGTGTTTGTTTAAAAAAACAAAACCAAAGAAAACAGCTATAATACTAGGTTGCATCACAAAAAATAAAGGAATTCTGCCTCCAAAGCATCTTTGGACGACACCTAATTCAGTTAAAAATCTGTAAGAGATTCTTAAGACAAATATTTTGAAGGGAGTAACTAGGAATGTTTGCATAATTTAATGGATTCAAAAAAAGCTTGATTGCCTCACTTCTCCTTGTAAAAACCATAGATATTACAGATATTGTCTGAGATGCAAAAAAACTAATTATAGACTTATTCCTCTGAGTTCAGGCCCACAGTAAAGATATTAAACTCATAGTTACTACTTTGTGTTTTTCTAAGTAAATGTATTTTAAGACATCAACTTGCAAAGGAGAATGTCAAACAATGTTACTCAAAATTTTTTTAATAAAGAAAGAAAAATCAAAGAAATTATTTAACAATTGTGCATAACTACACTCAACTAACAAAGATGATCTGTTTAGGAATCTTAAGGATAGCAAAGATGTATGATAACAGGGTACCACCATAAAAAAGGACAAATACATCCTATCACTAGAAAATGTTCCAAGACAAAATATGAATTCAAGAAGAAAATATTTCATATATCTTTTATCACAGAGACCATTAATTTAATTAACTCATTTCTGAATCACGCTTTGTGGTATACATCCTTTTTGCTAGTTTCTCATGCAAGACATTAGAAAGTTTTTCTCAAAACACAGCAAGTTAGCCCTAATGGTTTCAAGTCAACAGTGGGAGTCAGCCCAGAGGGGTATATTTAGAAGGCCATTTACACTTATGCATCCCAGCCTGGCACTCTCTCCTTCCCCCCCCCATCCAAAAAGGCTCAGTTAATCTCTATTACTAATAAATAATCCCTTATACTTATTCAATAGACATAAATTACTACAAGTGTACCTATAAATAGGATATCATTCAATGTAGAGAGGAGAGCAGCTGGAGCCTAATGACACCCTGGCAATCTCTTGGTACTATTTTTAGAAAACAGAAAAATCACCTCGTTTCAGTTAATACATAAATAATACTTTAACGAAAAGTGCTCATCTTGCCTGTATGCTTCCCCTAAAATGCTGTGAGGGACTCAGAATTAAATAAAATTAGTATATAAGAATTAATGAATAGACCTAAAAAAGTCAAGAAGCCTAAGTAAAGACTGCTTCCTTTAATTCTAATTACATTGTCTCATGGGTAATTTTCAGAACATAAAAATACAATAAATACTACAATGGAAATATAGGGATTCATTTATTACTTTTTGGTTTACAAACAAAGGCACCTAATAATGCTTGTATTTACTTCTTATAAAAGATTATCAATTTACATTTAAAACAACCCCCCCACCACACAAAACAAAAAAATCCCAAACCAGTTCCTACAGACAAACACACAAAAAAGGGAGAAATGAGATCTTTCCTCCCTGCTTCTAAGCTTTATTACAAAGATTCAAATAATGTTTATTTTATGCCATCCTTAAGTCAAAGAAGGTATTGCCATGCTTCTCTGTGTTGAGTTTTAGGACATATTAATGCTGCCAAGTCAAATTTAAATAGTCACAATGACATCACAATATAAAAATACATATGCCAGAGTTAAGAGCGAATAGGGGGGAAAATCCACATTTTACAACACAGCTTTATCAAATGAGTTAAAAGAAATATTAAATTTATTAATAGGTCATCCTGTTAAATAATGAGTTTGTGTAGAAAATATAATCAACCAGAACTAAAAACCACGTCTAGCAAATGACACAAACAGAAATGATTTCCAAAATCCTTAAGTTTGACTTAAGATCAAAGTCTAGTTGGTTTGGGGATTAACAACCTATATTCTCTTTATACTAATCTTGGAACTTCAAATTCCAGAACAATGTACTTAGTTAATTTACTCATTAGCTTTCTTTCGATAACAGAATTCTAAACAAAAACACAACATTAATGCAGTGGCCTCAGCATCCTCCCAAGTTAGCATTTCTTTAAGTTAGATTACAAGAACAATAAAACAGCTCAGAAGTTTTATAATCCCTCTGCACTTCACAGGCCTGCCCAAGTTGTCCCGACTCTTTTGTGAGACATAAAGACATTTTTTTGATTCTATGTATATCTGGCAGAAGTATAAAAATCATACAAATGTTGACATGTTTTCAACTCATTATGGAAATATATTTGGAGAGATGGAGTACTCAGTATATACTACATGGGCCACTTTAAATCAAAGGCATCATCATTTATTCCATTTTCAGACACTGTCATGGTCTCTCACACCTTGTACAAAGGTATGGTCCTAGACCAGAGACTTCAGTATCATTCCAAAGAATATATAGCTATATACATATGTATTTCTTTTAAAATAATGTTTAAAAGTTTTACTACAGAAAATCTGGCTTCAACATGGAAGCATCTTTCCTTTTCAAGATTATACACCTGCATGGAAGAAGGTGATTTCCTTTACATTTAGTTTTTTCATAATAGCAAAATAAACTTCTCACACTGCATTTAAATTGACAAAGAAAATTAAAATGTAAAGTTCCATGTAACTTTTTTTTACTGTGAACTGACTTTTTAAACATATTCAAGGTACACTGTTGATGATTTAAATATAGTACAACTTGATCAGCTTAATTAGAACAGTGTTATGCTGAACAATGTTAAACCAAATGTACTTTAAAATGTGAGTTAACTACTAGTAAGATTTAAAGGGAATTATAATGTACCATTAAAATATACATTACTTTTCTTGCTATTACTTGTTTCTATAATGCATTTCTTTCTAAAGCTAAAACCACATGCAGAAAAAAAAAATGCTATCTTCAAACTCATTCAACAGTTTGCTCCTTTATGTGGTATGTAAATATAGTCCTTTACTTAATTTTATACATATTATCTTATGCATTACTTTATTTTTCTTGAAGAAATTCAGCTTTGAAGATCAAAATTAGTATGCATTTATACACGAAGACATTTTCTGAATGTTATTACTACCTACAAATACATTCTTCCATAATAATGCACTTTCAGTTTTCATTGTAAAGACCGTACACACCTTTTTAAAAAGTTGTATAAATGAAATTTATAAAGGAAGGAGTGCACAAGTATGGTAAATCCCTCCCCACTCCCACCTCCAACAAAGTCTCAAGAAATCCTCCTGCTTCAAAACATGAACACAATTTCACAGGACTGATTTTTATTTGATCATAACAACATGGGCAAGAACAATGTATTCCCACTCTTTTTGACACTAACAGTTTTACTGAATTTGTTTTCACTTTCCTTCAAAAAACATAGTATACATTGATATGGATTCTCAAACCCATTTAGATCCAATTGGGTCTTTAGAAATAATATATAGCCTTCCAATTAAGAAAGCAACTGATTGCTTATAGAAAAATGATATGCATCAGATGTTTAATCAGAAAGAGAAAAATGAGATCATGTTTTTCATGTTTGATACCACTCAATAACTTACAGGATGATGTGAATATAGTGTGGCCATGATTTCAACAAAACTAAAACCACTTCAACTGTTTAAAAAAAAAAATCAAACACTGTAAGAATCAAACATTTACCAATGTAGCTAGTATTCCTGTCCAAATAAATGCTTTCCATTGCACTGAATATTAGAATTAGAAATTCACTATATGTTAAGGCATATTTTAATTAATATGTTCCAGAATTGCACAGTTATACTGGTCAGTGTTCCTATTTCCCCACTCCTGCCCTTATCCCACACCCCCTTCTTCCAGGGATCTAAATGTTAAGTCATAGTTTTGGTGGCTACTATAGATTTCAGCTGGCATACCACAGTGTGTTCACTAGGTTTTATGAGCATAAACATTAAAATGTTACATAAAACGTACTATAATTTACTCCACACTCTGATCTAAGATGGTTTAACGTCTTGACAAAAGGTGAGATGACATAAGTACATTTTATATTTTGTGCATTTAGACCACCATATGCATAGATGTTCTAATGCTAAATTCTTGGTCTTCAGTATCTCATAGTGCTGGATGCTCGGAAGTATGACAGAAATTTGTAACACAGACTAACCACAAAGTACCAGATGTTTCTTGCCATTTGTGATCTTGCAATAAAAATGCGCCAGATCAGGATCACAAGAATAGTATTGAAACCATAACGTATGTTCCGCAACCTGGAAAGCAAATCAAAAGATGTATTAGATTGGTGACTAATTAATGCTCAGTTTTTAATCTAATCAAAGTTCAAATCCATATTAATTTGAACCTTATTTAAAACTAAATTCGAAGTCTTTAAGTTAGAAAGTTAGCAAAATCCAAACAAACCTGACTGCGTATATTCTGGACAGTAGTACATCAAACAATGCATTAACAATGAATACAGCAATCTATCAAAAAGTATATTTGGGATGCAAATTTATTCATTAAACAAATATTGGACATCCTCTGTGTGCCTAGTACTATGCTAGCTGTCAAGTATATGAGGGGTCTTCAAAAAGTTCATGAAAAGATTAGTATTATCATTTCATTCTATTTTTTCATGAACTTTTTGAAGTACCCTCATTTTATAGATAAAACAGTTATATCCCTTGAACTCCTGGAGTTTCCTATATAATCTACAAAGGTTTGTTCATTATGTACATCATAGTACAGACAAAACACAGTAAACATTTCTTGGCATCTTTAGTTGCTTACAAGTTGTCAGACAAGAAAACGCACTTCTTCAGTTATAGCTGACAGTCACATGATCAAAAGCCAAATCCTCATCCAAGAATAAAACATGGCATTAGCTCTATAAAGGAGGACCTTCCTTTCTCAAACAGTAACATAACATGTTACCTTGCTCATGGTTCAAAACATTTTTGATGTTTTTTGATGGTGTTTGAAAGGCATACATACAAACCTTCAGATACATAATAATATTAAATAAATTCCATTAACTTCAGCAGGCAGTGTAAGACAGGACTGCAATATAGCAACAATGTACAGAAAAAGAGCTTTAAATAAGAAGTCAAAAGATCAATATCCTAGTTTGCTTTGCTTCTTTACACAATATGACGTAGGCAAACGCAACTTCCCTAAGCTCCAATTTTCTCATCTATACAACTGGCTACCCTGAAAAGATTTGGGAGGCATGAGAGGGATAATAATGTAAAAGTCTTAAAAACTACTATAAAAATCATATAAAAAACTACAAATAAAACAGATTATTATTAAAATTATATCTGAATATAATTATATCTGCATATCTGAATGATGGATTACCACTGATTTTTTCCTCCTCTATTTTCTGAGGTTTTAACAATCAGCATGTATCACCTTTATAAAGAGACTAAAATTATAACTATTTTATAAACAAAGAAAAAAATTCTACACTGAATAAATATATTGTTGTATCTCTTCTCTTCCAAAGATTGAGTAGAAAAAATAAATAAATAAATAACCTCCAGTTTAGAACATTTTTTATTTTCTTCTAATATCTTTACTTTTTCAGTAGCAATATGAGAAGATAATAAGTGATTTTCTTTGATAATAAGTGATTTTTAAAACTTAATTCCACCTGAACTTCATGCTAAGAAATATAAGTTGATGAAGATAGTAAGTTTTGAAAATCTTAGGCTAAATCAATACTTTCATAGTTCCAGATCAAATGTAAGTACTTTTTCTAAATATAATACATTATTAGCAATATTTCTTATTTAATATACCAGTTTACAAAAAAAATTGTGTAATATTTTATAAGAAAGACACGATGCAATCAAATCCATGTAAAACTCACTTGTTCAGATGTTTCCTAGCTGCAGGAAGGCCAGACATTTCTTCATTCAATACATATTTCTTAGTTCCCATGCAGTAGTTTTCTATATATTCTGCCCAATGTAACTGTCGTACATCAATATTGAAGGTCTACATTAACAAAAAAATTACTGGTTACTTTCCTGAGTAGTTTTTTTTTAAGTTCTAGGGGAAAATATGCTACTATAAATAAATTGTTAAAATATAAAAACACAGTAACACTACACTGAAATGGAGACCTGACTTGAGTTAACACAGGCGATATTATGAGAAGGTATGTATCTGTGGAACTGGAGTCCCGTAGGAAGAGTGAAAAAGAATGGGACAGAAACAGTATCTGAGAAGACAATACCTGAAAAATTTCCAAAAATGATGAGACACCAAGCTATGTATTCAAAACACATGCACCACACACATACATATATCTAGGCATATAAGAAGAAATCAGAAAAAGGCCATATAGATTACCTCCAAAAGAACAATTAGAATGATAGCTGACTTTTCAAGAGAAGCAAAAGAAACCAGAAGACTATGCGAAGATGAAAGTAACTACTAACATTAAAAAGAAAATTACTAACATAAAAGTCTATGCCAGTGTAAATACCCTGAAAAATAAAGGTGAAATAAAGATGTTTCCAGAAGAATAAAACCTGAGACAATCTGACATCAGCAGAAAACCCACACTAGAGGAAGTATACTAGAAGGTATTCTTTAGGTAGAGGAACAATGATTCCAGATTGAAGTCTGGAGATAAGGAAGACATGAAGAGTAATAAAAAGGGCAATTATGCTGGTAAATCTATATGAATATTTACTGCACAGAATGCAATAAAAATAATGGCTTGTGAAGATTAACAGATATACAGAATTAATATATGTAACAATAACAGATGGATGTTGGCCCTTCCTTATCTGAGAAAAGGTGGAAGTATCAATTTATATTAGACCTTGCTAAATTAAGAAAGTGTACTGTGACCTCCAGAGCAACCTACTAAAACAGTTGAAAAAGAACGTATTTCTATGCAACTAATACAGATGAGAAAGCAAGAAATTGTAAAAATTAACCTTAAAAAAGGGGGGGGCGGGAGAACTTAATACCAAGAGTTAGATTTAAATCCAAAATTATCAGAAATTACATTATTGATTAAGTCCTCCAATTAAGTGTCAAAAATTGTCAGACTGAGAAAAAAAAAAACAAAAAACAAACCCACAACTATATGCTTCTTACAAGAGAACTACCTAAAAAATAAAGATACAGAATACTTGAAATAAGGATGGAGAAACACACACCATACATTTCTACAAAAAATGTATGAAAATGACCATTTGCCAAGGGCCTCACCAGAGTATGTTGTCAAAGTTTGCATTTTTGCAAATCTCATAACTAGTAAATAATAATATCTCAGTTTAGTTTTAGTTTTAGTCTGCATTTCCATTATTTTGAGTAAGACTGAGGATCTTTTTGAATTGTTAAGAATCATTCTCTGTAAAACCTATCTTTCTACAGTACCACTGACTTTTTTTACTACTTGTATTTCTACCTCAACATTTTACATAGTAGAAAATGCATACTAAAATCATATTGAGGTACTACTACATACCAACAAAGTGGCTAAAATTAAAAATTAAAGTTAAATGCCAAGTGTCGTGGAGGATGTAGATTAACAGGAACTCTCACATACTGCCAACTGGAATGTAAATTACTACAACCACTTTGGAAAACTACTTGCCATTATTTACTAAACTAAACATATGAATATCCTAAGACATAGTTATTCTATTTCTAGGTACATACTCTACACAAATGTGTGTATATGGGCACGAAGAATGTTCATAGGAGAATTATTCCTAACTGCCCAAAACTGGAAATATCTCAAATGTCTATCAACAGAAGAATGAAAAAGCCATTGTATGATACCATCTGTGTAAAGACAAAATAGGGAGAAACTAATATTTAATGTTAGAATTCAAGAGAGTTGCTACCTTTGGGAAGGAAGAGAAGGTAGTAATTGGGAAAGGGTGTGAAAGGGACCTCTGGGGTATTATGGATTGAATTGTGTGCCCCCAAAAGTTTAATGTGTTGGAGGCTTGGTCCCCACTGTGAAAGTGTTAAGAGGGTAGGAAAGTCCTATTATGGTAATTGAAAGGTGGGCCTTCTGAAGAGGTGATTAGATTGTAAAACCATGCCACAGTGAACAGATTAATAATGGTAGTTAGGGGTGTGGTTCTGAGGGCTTTAAAAGGAGAGCAAGTGAAAGTCTCTCTCTGCTCCTCCATTCTCACCATGTGACACCCTGCATTGCTGTAGAGTCACCTCACCAGATGTGTTCCCTGGATTGTGGACTTCCCAGACTCCATAACTGTAAGCAATAAGTTTCATTTTCTTTACAAATCATCCAGTTCTAGGTATTTTGTTATAAGCAACAGAAATGGACTAATACAGGTAAGAAAATGAAGAGAAACGAAGCTAGCACTGTGAGAATGGAAAACAAAACTGTAACCAGGAACCAGCCCCACAGTCTATTTAAGGCCTACATTCACCAGTTACGCTAAAAACCTAATCAGATATTTTAAAGGGGCTCTAGAGCTTATTAATGCCACCCAGCTAATCAGTGCTAATAACCACTAGGCTATTGGTAGAAGCAAAGGCAAATCCTCACTGGAAAACCGCAATGTCAATCTATGCCTCAAAAACTTCCCACAGAAATCCCCAAGGAATATAAATTTACAGTCAAATAAATAACTCACAAAAAAAGAAATAAGATGCCACATTTGAGACCTAGCTTAAACAACAGACAGCAGAATTAGTTGCTGCAAATCCTTTAGAAGTTTGAATTATTAGAAACAGATTTTAAAATAATTGTTTAGGGCCAGCCCCGTGGCGCACTTGGGAGAGTGTGGCGCTGGGAGCACAGCGACGTTCCCGCCACGGGTTCGGATCCTATATAGGACTGGCCGGTGTGCTCACTGGCTGAGCGTGGTGCGGGCAACACCACACCAGGGTTGCGATCCCCTTTACCAGTCACGAAAAAGACCAAATAAATAAATAAATAAATAATTGTTTAAATGTTTCAAGAAAAAAATTCTAAGACTGTTTAAGAAATGTCTATAAGATTTTTAAAGTAAATTGAACTTTCTAAAAATGAAAATATTTTCACTGAAACCCAAAATTCAATGGGATGATTTAGACACAGACTGTCATAAATTCTTAAAATATCTACATTTTAGCCCAGAAACAAAGAGATAAAAAATACGCAACTAAAAGACCTTGAGGATAGAATGATCTACCATATACTAGAAATTTTGGAAGAAGATAAGGGAATGTTGAATAGGCAATATTTGAAGAAACAATGTCTAAGTGTTTTCCTTAACTGCTGAAAGACACCAAACTTCGCAACTAAAAGACCTTGAGGATAGAATGATCTACCATATACTAGAAATTTTGGAAGAAGATAAGGGAATGTTGAAGAGGCAATATTTGAAGAAACAATGTCTAAGTGTTTTCCTTAACTGCTGAAAGACACCAAACTTCAAATTCAGGAGGCCCAACCCAAGCAATATAAGTTTTTAAAAATTATACCTAGACATATTTGTAGTGAAACTACAGAAACCAAACACAATAAAAAAATCAGAAAAAGAGACAGGAATACACCCATATAAAGTAATCACCTGTAAAGGAATAACAAATTACTGACTTTTCAATGACAACAACGTAAGACAGAATATAAAAATAAAGTTATCTTTAATGTGTTGAAATCACATTACTAAAACAAGAGTGAAATAAAGACATGTCAGACAGCCAAAACCTGAGAGTTCACTACTAACAAAACCTCTGCTAAACCATATTCTGTTATTTTAGATATATTTCAGGCAGAAATAAAATGATCATAAAGAGAAGATCTGAGAGCAAAGACATTGGTATACATATAGAAAGAGTTAAATCTAAATAAAAACTGAACGAACAAAATAATTTCTGATCTTGGGGTTTAAACAGAGAACTAAAGTAAGTTACAACCATGTAAGTTAGTGGGGGTGGTAACACATCTAAAACATTTTAAGGTTCTAAACATCACTAAGAAGGAGGCTACAGAAACTGCTCAACTTAGACTGTGTTACCTTTGCATGTTAAAATATCTAGAGTAACCTCAAAAAGAACACACACACAGAGTTTAAGTTTCATACTAGCACAGGGTAAAATGCAGAAAGACAAAAAGCAAAAAAGTATTTGAAAAAAATTTCTTAGTGAAGGTTTTTCTCAAAACTCAGAGAACAAGTGTTTGGAGGAAAAACACATAAAGAAATTAAAGTTTTCTTCAAACCACACATGAAGAGGAAAAAAAAATTAACATCTTAATCATACTTTGAAAATACCTTTGCTACTCTCAAATACTTACACTATAAATTTTAAGATGAAGCAATTTTATTTCATCACCAGCAATTATGGAAGCTTCAATGAGAGACTATAAACAGATGAGTGATTTTCTTGTTGCATAACGATTGCGGGAAGTATCTTATTATTTTTCAGGTGCTAATGGTTCTCTAATTAGTATGCTACTTATTTTCTAATATAAAACAGAAAATACTTGCCTTTTTATCTTCAGGGTTTAGTTGATTCATTAACATATTGACATTGTCAGTATTCCAAACCCAAGAATTACTTGTGAAGTATTCAAGAAACACCATAGCTTTGTGAAGACGAGTTATTGTTTTCATCATCCTGTATTATAAGAAAAATAGACAGATTCATATTTTGCATAGGTTAGGAAAAAATCCCATCATCACCCCAGGTACCAGTTTCCCCCAACAAATACATTAACATTAAAATTATAATAGGTAATTCAATAAGTGTACCAATTCAGCAGGGAATGAGAATATTTCTGCATCTTGGAAGAAAATTTCATAAATCCAAAATGAAAAAAGAAAATTTGGAAGCAGCAGCAAATGAATTTAATACTGTCTAAATAGAGTTCTGCTGACATATCAAATTCTCAAGGGATATGCAATACTGTTAAGGTCAAATTTTCAACATTAAATACTAAGCAAATAAGTAGATTCAATTAATATCCCCTTGCTTTTTGTTCCTTATACTACATTTTAGTTAAGCAGCATTTACTAAGATTTCCTGTGAATTCAAATGAATTCAGAATATATTGTTTTATTATAATCCCAAGACTTCGGCATCACTGAAGCAAAGTGAATACAGAAATATTCGTTTGCCATTCAGTCAACTCTATTTAGGAAAAAAAACAAAAAAACACCTTTCTCTTTAACACTAATTGGTGCCACTCTTGATCGTCTGAATGTGCTGTGAAATCAATGACTTACACTGAGGACTTTCTGAAACAGATATTCACTCATCTCCCCATATCCCACCAATATTCATCCTTATAGAAATAAGGGAGTGTGATACTTGTTTGCTTCTTTTTCAAAGGACAGGGATCCTTAATCTTTAAATCTGCCATTTTATATATCATGGCTCACTGTTAAGTCATTGATATCATAACACTATCCTGAGCAGTAACATCTGTAATAATAATAATTACCTATGACAAGTAGGGAAAGAGAACAAAGAACTTTTTGAAACAAAACACACACCAAAAAATCCCAACTTCTGAAAACAGAAAAATAAACTGCAGAGAAATACTTAAAAATAATTTCATTTATATTCCCACAATAAGGATTAGCATTATTTAGTTTAGAAAGTTCCCAAATTAGCAACTTTAGAAACGGGGGACATGGAGGAAAATTAGAACATTAGAAATTGGAGGGGAGATCAAAACAGTATATTATCTAAGCAATTCTGATAACACATTCAGTACATTCAGAAAGAAACCCTGAATCCAGAATACTGGAAGAGAATGAAGCAATATGAACTATGAAAAGAAAAACTGTAGCTCATCTAATAAAGTAATTCTAAACTTAAACCTCCAATAAACAATAACTATCAAACATCAAAGGCTGTATTTGGACAGGAATTTATCATATAGATAGAATGCACTTGGGAGGAAAAAAAGACACAGCATTTAGAAAAGATTAGGCAATTTTTTTTTCTAAAAAATAAAAAGATATAACACATTTGTAACTATAACAATATACAAGATCACAGCCAGTATAGTATACTTGAATCACACACACACACCTTAAACATAGTTTTCCAACACATATCTTATTAAAATGTTTTTTTCTAACTCCTTTTTTTTTTTGACAATTCTCACCTAATCTTATCTTCAGATTCATTCAAGTGACAAAATTACCTAAACATAGTTTTCCAACACATATCTTATTAAAATGTTTTTTTCTAACTCCTTTTTTTTTTGACAATTCTCACCTAATCTTATCTTCAGATTCATTCAAGTGACAAAATTACCATATAATCAATCACTGATTCAGCCATTCAAAAAATAATTGCAATAAAAAACTGGAAGGAGGAGGGAATTTGAAAGGCCATATATATGTGTGAAATTCATAGAACATTTATCAGACAACAAAAGTACTGGATTGAATATATGGGGGATAAAAAGAAACTTAAAACTTTATACCATCACTCTTTGGTTAAACATGCCATAGAACAGATGCTTGTGACTTAAATTGTCACTGAGTACTTATTTATCCATTATGGCAACCTTCAAAAAATAATCAACCACAATCCTTTAGAGTAGGGCAAAATCTTCATCATCATCTAGTCCAGGGTTTCTCCAGTTCAGCACTATAGATGCCCTGGGTCAGATATTACTTATGGGGCTATCTATGCACTGTAGGATATGTGACAGCACTCTTGGTCTCTACCCACTAGATGCCAGGAGCACCCCTCCCCCCACTGTCATAACTAAAAATACCTCTAAATATTGTCAAATGTCCCTAGTTGAGAACCACACAGATGAAAAATATCAGGTGCAGAAAACTTAAACTAGAATGTTAAGCTAAATAACAACAACAAAAAAAAAAAACCAAGACCACGAAGCCATTTTTTCAGATGACGTTTTTAACAAGGATGGAATGTCTACTACATTTCAAGAGCTAGAGTGATATAATTTATACTGCAATAATATCATGCACCCTAGTCTCCAATGACTATTAACCAAGAATCCATATGATGTGTATCTGAGTTGTACTTTTTTTTTATCCTTTTTGTCTTTTTTCGTGACCGGCAACGGATCGCAACCCTCAGTGTCGCGCCCGTACAGACCGGGACCGGGACCGGCAATGGGATTGCAACCCTCGGTGCTGCGCCTGCACCTCGCTCAGGCGGTGAGCGGCCGGTCTGTATGTGGGATCCGAACCCTCAGCGGGAGCGGCGCACTGTAGCAGTGCGCCACCAGGCCGGCCCTGAGTTGTACTTTTTATAAATATGTGAGGATATATAGCATGTCAGATTTTTATCTAGCTGATGCCCAGAATAATGTAAATCAGTAAAATGGATGCCATGAATGACATGACTTACATTAGTTTAATGCAGGCATTATATCAAGGCCCCAATATAAGGTATAAAGCCCAGAACCTTGCTCAGTAAATATCTGAATGAATTAAATAAGTTAAATTGCCTAGATAAAAAAACTTTATGTCTCTTGCAGCTTTTAGACTATAAGCTCTCAGAGGTCAAGGATCATTCCTGCTTTTGACACTTAGCAGGCATCACGCAGGACAAACATCAGGTAAGAAGATTCTTTACTTTATGTTTCCTATCTGGGGAATATTTTAATTTCCAAAATTGCCTATAATATCATCTCCCATCCTACACGCTCACCTACAATGTCTCCTTGACTATCTGCCCATCAAAAGGTGAAGGTTTAAAACACTAAGTTTAAAAAAAAAAAAAGGGTGACATAGAAAAAGTGGAAGTGACACTATGTGACTTCTGAGGCTAGTTAGAAAAAGTGATAGAGTTTTCTGCCTTGCTCACTGGATACCTTGAAACCTTCTGTCATTATGCATGCTATCCAACTCCTCCAAGGCTGCCGCACTGTGAGGAAGCTCAAACTAGTCCTTGTGGAGACACCACATGGAAAGGATCTGAGACTACACAAAGAGAGAAAGATGCCCGGCCACCCCAGCTGCTTTGCATCCATCCTTCCCTTCACCATTCCCTCCACAGTGTACCTGCTTCAGTCCCTGTCTGACTGCAACCACTTGAAAGACCCTAAGCCAGAACCACCCGGCCAAGCCCTTCTAGAATTCCAGACCCACAGAAACTGTGACACATATATAAAATGACTGTTGTTTTAAGACAACAGATCTTAGCACTGGAATAAGGGGTTGCCATAATGAAAACCTAAAATATGTGGTACTGGCTTTAGAATCAGGTGATAGACAAAATCTGTAAGATCCCTGGGGCAATCTTTAGTGAAACCTGAAAGGACCAGAAAAAGAATGTTAGTGAAGCCTTCAAGGGCTTTGAGAAAGGTTTTGATAAGGGTTTAAAGTGAGGAAAATATTGTTGGAAACTAGAAGAAAAAACAAAATTGTAACCTGTGGTAACATGGAAGATAGAAACTGTACCTAATAAACTTGATGAACTAGCCAAGATTTCCAAAAAAAGGACAAAGATGATCTTAAAAAATTAACTATTTGCTTGAGTGAAATTTGGAGAAAATGTAAAATGCCAGCCAGGAATTCTTTAAGAAACAGTTTCTGAGTATAGATCAAATCCAGGGTAAGGATGTAAGATTGTAAGATTCTTTAAGACCTTAGAACCTTTCAGACAGACAAAAGGAAACAAAAGATCCCTCTCCAGATCTTAAAGACACTGTTTAGAGGCAAAGCTCTAAGATATAACTGTGCTGCACCAAAGCAAACTTATAGAGAACCCAAGATAGAGAAGGGCTTGTCTCAGAGATCTGCAGGGTAAGGCTGTGATCTAATGGAGTGGATTGGTTTAAAATAGACACACCAGAAACCCACACAAGTTTTAAAGCAATCATGCCAGTTTACATATAAAGGAACAGGTGGATTGGTTTAAAATAGACACACCAGAAACCCACACAAGTTTTAAAGCAATCATGCCAGTTTACATATAAAGGAACAGAGACAGTACCAAAAAGAGGCCTCTGTTTCAAAGGTCAGCAAACCAAATCCAGCCTGCCGCCAGTTTTTAGAAATAAAGTTTTATTGGGATACAGTCACACTCTTTCATTTACATATTGTGTATGGCTGCTTTCATTCTTTAACAGCAGAGTTGAGGAAAACAGAAACCATATGGCTTGCAAAGCCTAAAATATTTACTATATGGCCTTTTACAAGAAAAGTTTGCCAACCCCTGCACTGGACTTCTAACTTTTTAAGGGCATCTCACTTGTTTACAACATGATCTTGACCATTCTCTAAATCCCCTTTCCTTAAATCTAGGAGGATTTGTGACTCACTTGTGATGAAAAATATGAGCCAACAGTGATGCTGCTTGACTTCCTTCCACAGGTGGGTCAAAAAGAGTACTGTTGCTTCCATCTTGCTGAAATTCTTCCCCCTTGAAGCCTTCAGCTGTCATGTAAGAAGGCAAATTCCCCTAAGGCTACCACTAATCAAAGAGCCTATATGAAGAGATCCTGACAGGATAGAAAGAAGCAGTGACATCCGGCCCCATCCAGCTTTTTCAGCTCCATCTCACCTCAACCATATGAAAGATCCCAAACCAAAACCACTCAGCTGATTCCTTCCCAAATTCTGGAGCCTGAAGAGAATTAATAAACTGAAAGAAATAATATAATGGCCATTACTGTTTTAAGACACTAAGTTTGAGGTGCTTTGTTATGCAGCAACATCTACTCTGTATCATTTAGTAAACTCTGGCTCTTCATTCATTTTTTTTTAAAAAGATGACCGGTAAGGGGATCTTAACCCTTGACTTGGCTCACCCAGTGAGCTAACCGGCCATCCCTATATGGGATCCGAACCCATGGCTTTGTTGTTATCAGCACCACACTCTCCCAAGTGAGCCACGGGCCGGCCCTTCATTCATTATTTTTAAGTTTACTAAGCCCCCTGTCCCTGTGTAAGGCATTGTGATATATTTAACGTGTTTTCCTTTTTTTTGACCTAATTTTGACTTTTCTGTCCTAAATAGAACAACTTTATTAATATAAAGAAAGCATGCATTGCCATCATTCATAAATTTACGCTTGCTTTTTAGCTATAAAAGAATGCCACCAATGGCAAATACTGCATTTTGCAGATCATTCTAGAAAAAGTTGAAAATATTTCTTTATCTGTTCTAAAGTTCTGTTCAACACCTCTCACATATTTCAATTGGTTAATACATAGGGTTAGGAACATCATGGACAAGTGAAACCACAGAAAATCCCTAATTTTTAAATAACTCAGATCCTGATACACTATAACTGGAAAATACCTCACTTTTATTTTTTGAGCAGTTGATGGAAGCTCTGGAACCAGCATCTTTATACATAAATACTTAAATCCTAAACTCTCCAATCAAAGGCTCCACTGTAATACCAATGTAGTTAAAAAAAATTTCTTCTTAATAGTACATTTCACTGCAATTGTGTTGTATAGACAGTAGGAGAACTTTAAGTATGTGGGGTTTCAATGGACACACACAAAAATAGAAGAAAGACTATAACAGCATTAAGAAAATAGAAAGTTTTCCATTTGTTATTAACTTTTTTTTTTAACTATGCCATTCTCAATCTGGATAATTAGTCAAAAACTGTGATTACCATATTATAAGCTGAATGGGCAGCTAATTAATTAATTTCAAGTAATTAATTTTCTAGAAACATCCTATATTTTTCACATAAAACTTCATCATCCACTTAAAGCAAAACATCTTATCCTTAATCCCCTGTAAAACCTCACCCCTAGGTTTTTAAGGGGGAGAGGAGAAGGGCTCAATTTCAGCTTATAATAACAATGACAACCTTGACATAAGACATTTCCTATATTATGGGATTCTGGAGGATCGACTAAATAAGATGAGATCCACAGTTAGTCTCCCCAAATATCCCCAATTTCTAAGAAATGTCCTAGCATCCTGATTGTGATTGTGATTAATCAGGTTAGTAATTCTAAAGGCAAAGCTCATGCTAGCGACTCTTCGTCTCTCCAGCAAGCTTCCACCACCTTACCAATAAATAGTGTATTTACTGCTATTCTTCTTACCACGGTTCCTGACCTGTCAACCTGAGTGCAAGATCGAGCAATAATGCAGGTACTGTATGTCTGACACCCTTCCAATAATGAAGCAATAGGTTGTTGGAATACAACTTAATATTGGGGCGCCTTAATACTTGGTTTAAAGGATTCATCTTGAAGGAATGATTTAGATAATATCCTGCAGGAAAAATAAGCGTCAAAGCATTTTGAATATTATTTGTTATTCAGAAAAATACCTAAAGTTAGACCTAGAATTCAACACATGACAATAACTTATCATCCAAACTTTAGAACAAATTAGAGTGACTTACAACACTACCTTTGCTTTTCTGACAAAGTCTTAAATTCAAGAGTCTTCTCATTCACAAAAGGCCATTAAGCCTTATCATAAGCATAAACAAATACAGAGTTAATATGCATTTTAGTGTAAGCATGGGTTGTTTAACAGTCAGAGGAACAGATAAGACAGAGCTAGTCACCATTACCTTGGGCTTCTTCCAGTCATCCTGAGGTAGATATCATACAGGAATGCTGGGGCCTTATGGCTTACAGCAATCCAGTAATGATATAAAAGGTGATTGGAGGTTAGATTTACATTGGGCCGTCTGAAGGCCTGTTCGAGAGGATTCCTCTTGAAAGTGGAAATTACATGGTATTCTGAGGAAGAAAAGTTGTGTAACAGCTTTGATAATAACCATGTAATGAAGTTTTGAAAAAAAAAATCATGTTTTTACAATGCAAAATATTTTACCAAAGATGTCAGAGTTTGTTCATTTAAAAAACAAGCTTTTCCACCCTCTATAAGTAGCTAAGAGAATATGGGTATTAGACTGCTGAACTCAAGTGGTTTTAAAACTGCCACTAGTTATGAATTTTAATTAGATGAATGAATTTTTGCTAAAATTCACTGCAAATCCTTTTAATGTTTTACCTATGTCAGTTTACAGTGGCACTTTCTATATTTCACCTGTCACGATAGCTTCTTTCTTTCTGTTCCTCTTTCCAGATTCTTATTACTGTACTTACTTAAAAAAGAAAAGGAAATCATCACCCTTTGCTTAAATTGCTCAAATTAATGTACATCAAAAATCTTAATACAACCCCAAATTAACTTCTGCTGTAATTTAATCAGGTTATCCAATGTCAACACAATCAAATCTAGTATGATCGATGTTAATACTTTAATAGAAATGTATATTGACATATTCACTAAAAAATAATGCTGAACTTGACTTTTCACTAAACTGTACAACACAATGAAAAATTATAAAAAACCTAACTCATTTAAAGTGTGTAAATATTCTTAAAAGAATACGACTTAAAATAATTATCATAAAATTAAAATCACTCTAGATTTTTTTTCTTATATGTTCTAATGGTCAATCCTTAAATTGAAATTAAAATACCAGAGATAAACCCTAGGACAAATGTCATGGAAGACTTATTTTAAAATCAAAATTGTTATGCAGGGCTAACAAAAACTACTCAGTTAGAAATAAAATTACTAAATCAATGCCATAAATATTACTATTTATGTAAGACCTATTACTAAATCAATGCCATAAATATATTCTACTTTAAATTTGAAATCAACAACTAACAATTTTAAAATGTTTCAATTTCAATAGGCTTTTAGTTTTACAATTCCTATTTTAGAACTAGTAACATATACACACTACCTGCTTGAATCTGTGATTTAAATAAACTAATACATGTTAATAAAAAATATTCTGGGATGGCTGGTCAGCTCAGTTGGTTGGAGCTCAGTGTTGTAACACCAAGGTCAAGGGTTTGGATCCCTGTATTGGCCAGCAGCCAAAAGAAAAATTTTTTTTCTACCAAAATGTATCCTACTTTCTAACTCCTTCATTTATTACAATGGGGACCACTTGATATAAAAACTCTTATAGTTGAAAGTGATACTGCCCATGGAGAGGCAACATCAAGACTGAGGGTGCTCAGGAGGAAGAAAAAAAGCACTGTTCTCATGCTATAGGTTTCTATAAGGGTTGCTGCAGATGGCAGCTAAAAGACAGCAAGGGTCAGGCAAGGGTGGGGTGGGTGGCAATATACAGAAGAATATTTTGAAATCAGTGAAATATTACTAAGGACCACAAAGTAGTATTGGTAGATATTACTACTAACACAGCAGTTAAAATAAGAACAAATTGGCAACTCAGTGGCCTTAATGCCTCATGTGTATTCTAACATTAAAACCTCAGTGAACACTTTAAGTTAAGATTTATTCTAACATTAAAAAACACAGGTAAACTCATACCAACTTCACCCCAGTGGAAAGGATTAGTGCTGCCTGTTGTGCAATTATACACCATGATGTTTCTTGGTCTGCAAAGACAAAGATGAAAGCAATGAAACAAAAAGAGGCCAAATTTATCCGATCTAAATCTTACATAATATTGAAGCAGGAAGACAAGAAGATGATGGCTATCTTTTCTATAATGATTATTTTTTTAAATTATCCTTAAAGGATTAAATTTTTATGTTTGAATGAAATAAACTACTCTTTCTCCCTCCTCTACCAAAAAAATTATTTATAAAAAAATACAGATAGGGCCGAGCCCGTGGCGCACTCGGGAGAGTGCAGCGCTGGGAGCGCAGCAGCGCTCCCGCCGCGGGTTCAGATCCTATATAGGGGGGGCCGGTGCCCCCTGGCGGGGGGGGGGGCAGCCGGTCTCAAAAAGGACAAAAAAAAAAAAAAATACAGAGGGGGCCGGGCCGGGGGCGCCCTCGGGAGAGTGCAGCGCTGGGAGCGCAGCAGCGCTCCCGCCGCGGGTTCAGATCCTATATAGGGGGGGCCGGTGCCCCCTGGCGGGGGGGGGGGCAGCCGGTCTCAAAAAGGACAAAAAAAAAAAAAAATACAGAGGGGGCCGGGCCGGGGGCGCCCTCGGGAGAGTGCAGCGCTGGGAGCGCAGCAGCGCTCCCGCCGCGGGTTCAGATCCTATATAGGGGTGACCGGTGCTCACTGGCGGAGCGGGGTGCAGCCGGTCTCAAAAAGGACAAAAAAAAAAAAAAATACAGATATTTTTCATTCCATATTTTTCTTCCTTGCATTATTTGGAATGTCTATTTTTAGACATAAGGTAAAAGAACACCAATCTCAGCTCTTCCTGTCTACTTCTCATTTTCAGAAGCTCTAGTTGAAAAAATGGACTAGCTTCTCTTTTGTCAGAAACAATATAGTCATATCCCTCCTTTTTAAAAATATAAAATACTGACTTCAAAGAATAAGGGCAGTTTATTGGTTGGGAAAAAAAAGTTAATGGAAAGCTTCAAGTTTAGGTATTACCTGGAAATACTGCTATTACCTTTTAAAAAAAGATGCTCATGAGTTCATTAAAGCTGCTCTAGTGTTTGATATATGTAAACCATTCTCTGTGAATTTTAGCTTTCTATATGGCAAGTATACACCAAGGTTTGGTCTGAATTAAAAAATCATCCTTAGGGAGAACATTTTTGTTCTCATTTTTAATCCCTAATGAACCTGTCCATCCTGTAGATGGTACACTAGAATTAATATTAATTCTTCATTACTATTGATGGGACCACTTGCTATTGCCTGTGATATACCACCTCTTGCAGTTGACAGTGATATTGCCTATATATTGGTATGGCCATATCAGAACTAAAGGATTAATTAACATTTGTCAGTAGCCCTGTTTTCCCTTCTCAGTTACTATACATTTAATAAACGACATTGTCACCTCATATACCTATTAACTCCGGAATACCAGGCTGCTGCAAGACTCGTGTTGACAACTACATCTACAGGAACAAGATCCGCAAGGGCATTGTTGGAGGCACGCATTGTTCGAAGAATTCCTTTCCCTGCCTTTGTTGAAATTAAAAACAACACCTTAAGATATATAAGCCATAGTGTATACATATATACACATATAAAGATATATAGAAACAGAAAAATGTATAGAATATTAAATAAATCAAAAGGTTTACTTACCGCAATAAAGAGACCACTTGGTCCATTAAAGTTATCAATCCATCCCTAATACCAAAAATAAAAAAAAGTGGGAGCTTAGAAATATTATGAAACTAGAGATTTATTATTTGAAATCTACAATCCCAAATACTAGGTAGTGAACTATAAAAAATAGACTAGATTTATGTCAGAATGTTTCTCCCAGTCTCAGATAGAAGCAGTCTTCCTCTGGATCACAAATGACTAAGCAAAAACATTTTTAAGGGGTTACCTAATCTTCCATTAACTCTCTGCAAAGAGAATTATATAAAAAGGAGTTTACACTGTCAAATATTTTTGCTAACTTGAGCCTGTTCAGGTTTGATTTTATGCTGTTTACTAATACAGCATCCTGAGATTAGAGGGAAACGGTAAATCCTCCTCAAAATTACTGAACAAAACAGAGGAAAATAAAATAATTGTCAAAGCAATGAAAGAGGTCCTCTCACTACCATTATATAGACCAAGGTTTTTCCTAAATCATTTATCTATTGGTTTATATCTCTGCTTTTTCGTATTCCAGGGATTCACAAATACCATAATACCCCGTGTTTTTTTTCTTTTTTACAGCAAGTTATCAGAGAATCTCTTACACTTTTCCTCAGCTATGTGATCTATATAGAAGGTATCTACCCCTTGGAAGGCCTACCTGTTTTTGGTACTAAAAAGCGAATGAAATTCTGGTCTCTTTTGACTTGAGATAATGTCATAGCTTTTGACGTAATTCTCAATGAGAATGTTTTAAATGTTGGATCTGCATTTCTTACACACCAGTATCACATAAGAAATAAAAGTACCAATAAAATAGCTTTGCCATGTTCAGTAAATAATACCTGCTCTTAAATCAAACCACCGCCAACTCTTTTTATGACTTAAAATTCTCAACTCCAATTATATATAAATATTTCAAACAACTTACTGGAAAAGGTTCCTTCCAACTGGCACCAACAATTGATGGCCTTACAATTGCCACATTTAGCTTTGCTCCTTCTTGTTGTACAACATATTCTGCCAATGCTTTTGTGTATATGTATGTATTCGGTCTGTCTCCTATTAATTTTGGTGTGATGTCATTTACTAGGCCATCATCCATCCACCTGGTAGACAAAGAAATTGCATACAAAAATATTGCCAGATGTTTTACTTTAAAATGAAGAATCACTAAACTGACCTTTGCACATTCAAACATATCTGTTGCTCTGAAATGATTTGACAATAACTTTTACTAAAAAAATGGAAGTCAGTCTTATTGTCATTAAACATCAACTACAGGTAAACAATCCCTTATCTGCAATTTCTACATCCAAAAAGGTCTGAAAACCAACAATTCTTTCATAAATCATATAGTAGCAAATCATATGACAGATAAAAATCATATGGTAGATAGCAAAACCTGACCTGAACTGATTTATGGCCTTTTTAAATACCTCTTAGTTGAAATATTCGTATACTTCATGTGTTTGATCAGGGATGCTATCCCAGATCACAGTGAAGTTATTTCATATTACATAGTACATAAATTATATTTCCTTTCTAAAGTTCAAATAAATTCCAAAATATATCTCGCCCCAATGGTTCCAGATTAGGAATTACACATCTGTAAATAACCATCTCACAGAATAACATGTTAACTATACACAATTGCAATTAACGTATATTTATAATTAGTATAAAAGGTCTAGTAATATAAATATTTAAGTAAAGCACTGCAAATTGTATGCTCTCACTAACAAATAATAGGACAGACAAAAGAAATAAATTGTACCATAGTATAAAAATTCAATTACCAACCTATTATAAAGTCACAAAATTCCTTTAATTCTCTCAGTGTCTTTGAAGAAATAATCTACCATAATCATCTGTAAAAGGTGGGTGATATACTAAATGCCTATGGTCTTTCCTAGTTTAAATTTCTGGTTCTAATATGTTACGCACTTGTTTTCAGGTACTTTTTCTTTCTTGTCCAAAATGCTATGCATACAAGTAGACTCAGTATATTGTCACACTCTAAGGATACCCATACTAACTAATAAGGA